ATGATCAAGTCAGCTTGTAAAAATTTAATCCGAAATACTGTAAAACCCGTATAATTTTGACGATAATATCCTAGATAATTCAGTAGCGCAAGCGTAAAGTCAGAGCAAAAATGAAATGATTTTCTTTGATAAGATTTATTGTAAAGTTAATTATTTTAATCATATAAATCGGAATTCTTGAAACAATCTTTGGTATTTTTTTATCCCCTTAGTAAAGATTATTTTTATTAAAAAATTTTCCTCTCAATCACTGTTCTATCTTTAATACTTTATACTTCAGCTACAAATAAACAATTGATTGTTTAGCACGAAAATAAGTAGACAAGTTTAAAGGCATGCACTTGCCGTTAAGGTTCTGCCTTTTCTTTATCCCTTTTAACAAGTAGTAATAATATTAAAACAACAACTAATAATGTGTGCAAAACAACTAATAACATCAAATCCATCGAAACTCATTCGTGCTTATTGATTGGTTCTTTATTGAAAACGAGTCGAATACCCGTTCTTCGCGCGGGCTGGAAAAAAGGAAAGTAATTAATAAATCAATACGCAACAACACTGCCAAATTTTGCACTAAACTGAAAGGCATATATCAACACAACGAATAAAGCTAAAGTACTTCAAATTGTTTATTATATTTTTTATTCTCCGGTGGCTTTACGTTATTAGATCAAGCAAAACACGTTTCGTAATAGCTTATCCCATCAAAATAAAGATTAAACATATTCAGTATCATTTGAAAATTATCATGCTGCTCGAGGCCTATACCCACTACTCTTCGGTACTTGTCCTTTATAGGGGCCGTAAAAACATTTTTCCACAGTGTATATAATAAAATTGCACAATAATAACCAAGTAAAATAATAAAATATATTGTAACTATAATTGTACATTTGGTACCTATGAAAACTGAACTGTATAAAGTTTGCGATCAAATTACGGTAAAAATTACCAGCACCTAGGGTGTCAGTACCTTATACCATAAAATTCATTTTTACCCCAAAATGTTAAAGAACAAAAAATAATATAATTTTTACCGTAATATTTATTGTTAAATCACTGAATCACTTTATTTAAATAAATATTACTCAAAAATTACGACATAAAATACTACGGTAAAATGAGTTTTATGGAAAAACAGTTTTTAATTATGTTGCAATTAGGATGCCTGTTTTTTTTTACCGTAATTGGTTGCCGAATTTTCTAAAATGTGCTCCCATTACCTTAAGACAAGTAGTGCCGACTACACAATTTAATTCAGCATCATTGGCATCTATAATAGCATAATATGTTTTTACGTTTCTACTCATTGAATTAGTACATCTCCATTGTTTTTTTTTATTAATTAAGAGTTATTAATTAAAGCCCATTTTCAAAATTTATTAAGAGTCATTGTTTTCTAGAATACCGTGACGACTTTTTACACTTATCCTGAACGTATTAGCACAATTTTCCCTCTACTTATTCTTTTTAGTGTATATTTTTTTTGTTTCAATTAGTAACTATTACAAAAATTAATTAAGCATTTTTAGGGTCAATAATAGTTCAGTGAATTTTTACACTTTTCCAAAACGAATTAGTACCATTTCTCCATTAATTTTGCTTTTTTAATACATAGCTTTTTTTCGTTTCAATTAGCATTTATTACCAAAATTAGTTAAGCATCATTGGCGTCAATAACAATCTGGCGATTTTTCACGCTTTTTCTAAATGAATTAGCTTTCCATTAATTTTGCTTTTTAGCACATAGCTCCTGTTTTGCATCAATTAGTAACTACAATACTATCAAAATTAATAAAGTATTATTGGCAACAATTGTTGTACTGCAATTTTTTATGCTTCTCATAAATACTTTTCTATCTATTCTCCATTGGTTTTGCTTCTATATACATAGTTTATTCTTTCGTCATTTAGTGCTTATTATTGAAATTTATCAACCATCATTAAAGTCAACAATAGTAAAGAGATGTTTTTCGTTTCTCATAAGCGAATTAGTATTATTTCTCCATTAATTTTAGTTTTTAGTATAAAACCTTTTTTTTCTTCCAAATGCCATTTATGTTGATTAGTTAGTTTTAGAAAAACACCTTTTAAAGCATAATAATAAACAAAATAAATGCGCGGTTTCAAATAACTTAAGAATATTAATTTGCTGATGCAGTTCGCGCATGCTAAAATTTACACGTTTTTAATTAGATTTATCTGACGTAATTCATAAAAAATAATCAAGCATTGTAAAACGAGCAATACGCACCTTTTCGAATGAAAGCAATAAGCTAGAAAACATCACTGATGTTATCTTTGAAATACTTGGAAGATGAAAAAAAAATTAAACCCCCCCCCCAAAAAAAAAGAAAAAAAGAGCAGAATCATCTGTAGTTTTATTTTTTGCCAATGTCTAGTCCTAAATCAAAAGAAAAACTATCTTTTAAACGTCTCTCCCTAAAAATATAACTGAAATTTTTTAACTCTTTGTAAAATTAAGGTCTAAAATTGCCTCCTTCACCCACCACTTTACAAATTTCAGGACGCTATCAAAAATGGTTTTCGAATTATAAGAGAGGCAAACACACGGGCACGTTGACAAGCTTTTCATTTTACTATTATAGATTCTTAGTACTTCTTTGTAATTAATACTTAATACTTTTGATTTATACCTAAAATAAAAGTTACATCGATATAATGCTGCTGGTATGTTTTTATATTTATTTAATTACAATATTTTAGTGATTTTGCAGTAAAAATTACTGTTAAAATTATGGTATGTAAAATTTTTGTTCCGTAAAACTTTATGGTAACAATAGATTATTCGGTAAAAATCCTTATCACCATGAGTATCAGTTTTTTTTTTACCGTAATTTAAATCGGAACTTTTTTCAATGTGTCTAGCAAGAGAGAAGCATTTTTAAGGAATTTTTATTGATTAGAAAAGGTTTGAAATTTTCCCCCTTAAATAGTTACGTGTGTTCTTTGTAAGAGTTTAATTATGATTTTGTTATTAAAAGTGTATTTACTGCTGATATCAAAATGTTTGAAAGTGGAAATTCGAAACGAAATAGTTAGGAACTTATTTTCTTAAAGTCAGGCAACACATTTAACCAAGAACTATAACTCATAAGCATTTTATTAAAATTTTCAATTCATTTTCAGTCTCTTTAAACGTTTTCTAATCTCAGGATTTTCGATGCATAACGCGTTTTAAGTGAAAATATGTTTTATGCATGGAATGTCACATCTTTGATCTGTAGGAGCGTATCACTAAAGCATCAATCTAGTCTTAAAACAACGAATCAACGAAAGCACGCTGTCATCATAGAAGTTTCTACCAAGGATGTTCCCGTAAATGAAAAAACTCTTAATACCTTTTATCTTTTTCCGATATTAGCATAATTTTTAAAATTAGCATGTCTGGGAAGTTTGCATTGCTAAAATGAAAGCAATCAATGTTTTTTCATAGTAGGAATTGAACTTAAATCAAAGTGAGTATTTTTTTAAAAAAAACTTTTCATTTTAAACGTTACCTTAAAAGAAATAACGCTACTTTCATTTATATTTATTATTATAGCATATTCATTATTACTTAATAATCTTTTGTTTTGAATTATTTTTCTGGTTTCGATTGACGTGCATATTTTTTAGTTCGAAATAAGAATTTCATAGACAAATAAAAATGTCATTGAAAGAAAAATTACTATTAAGAAAAACAGTTGGTTATATGTAGTCGATAATATCGTATAACCTTCATTTTGTGTTAAATTCTGCCATTTTTAAGTATAAAACAAAGGAAAAAGAGAAAAAAATTGAAAAAAAAGAAGAAAAAAAAGAAAAAGAAATGATATTTTTAAGGCTTAAATAGATCTTAAAATAAGGCAAAATTTTCGTTTATTTTAATGCTGCATTAATTGATAGTTTAAAATCATCTTATTTTAAATTTACTTTACAATTTTTATTAATATTAAAAATGTTTTAGATTCTAAAATACAGTTTTGAAAAAATAAACAAGTTTTCTCTTCTTATTTATATCTATTTCTTTTTTAAAATTACTCGATAATTTATAGTTAATTTCTGGTAAAATGCTTCTGTTTCAATTATTTGTCTCAATACTTCACAACATTGAGGTTGACAGAAAAAAAGCTTCGGTTTCTTTTACCTTGCCTATTTTTAGAAGGAATTTATCAGGTAAGAATTAATTTTGAACTTATTGTAGTTATGATAATAATATAAAATACATATATGATAATAATATAAAATACATATATGATAATAATATAAAATACATCACAATCAAAATTGTTTATCCACGGCAATCTCTTCTTTCGTGAGAAACTTTGTTGAGTTTGTCTTTGTCATTGAAAGATTTAATTTCGTTAGATATTAATTTGGCGATATTTTTAAGAACCACTTATTTATAAACAAAACTATCTCTATTTGTTTCACAGTCTTAGAGGAATTTAGCGCTGAAGCTTGATTTACACTTATTCCCATTGCATTTGATAGATAACTTATTCTCACTTGCAACAATGATAAAGGGGAAGCAATTAGGCGAGGATTAGGTAAGCGAGCTGGGCTGGCATGAGGCAATGTTTTTGTACCACTTCAATTATCATTGTTTGGGTACATATAGTATTCAGGGTATACATTGCAATCAGTGTTTTAAATTATTGAAAAAATGATAGTAACTTCACTGTAAAAAATTACACACAAAACACAAAATTTAGAAATATTTCTTTAATGTTAGGAATAGTACAATTTGTTTTATAAATACAAAGCAAAAAAAAAATACTGTAAGCAATCAAAAGAGTTCCATAAACCACTAGCATAATTAAAATTAAAAAAAAAATTTAAGCGGATTTTTAGCTTATAAATTGTAAATATGCATAATTCTTTTAAACTAAACTTAATATTTATTTATTTTCAGGTAAGAAAAAAGTAATGGAAAAGTTCAACTGCAATACATTTTAAATATAAAACAACAATTTACCAAAAATTATGCTCTAAAATAGAATTTATTCAAAAAAGTATATATATGACACACAGTATTAAAAAAATAAAAATAATTTCAAAGAAACACAAATTAAACCGAAATAAGAAAAATATTTGATAAATTCAGGTACTTCTGCATTTACTGTACTAAAATTTTTATAATAGATTACATACTACACATTAAAATTGATACTTTCTTCCAAATCAAATTTGTTTCTATTTGGTTTAGTTTACACCAGATATTGAAAACGACACTATGTATCGGCTCCAACCTATAAATTAACAAGCTAATGAGGAAACAATATTACAATTTCAAAAGAGTGTTAAAGTAGTATAAAGGTGAGTAATTCCCAGATAGTACTAATATGAAAAAGGATTGTAAGAAGTAGAAATCCTATGAGGAATCCAAAACAGAGAGAGATTTTCGAACCTCCACTCGATTCATTCGAGTCTGAGTCTCCTTGAGCTTGACCAGTTTTAGGCTTGAATGGATCCTTTCTTTTTACAATACAAGAACCATTGCTAAAATTAATAAAAGAAGTAAGAAAAGTGTATCAATAAATAATATCGTTAACACAAGTGTCTTGAATTCTTGTGTTGTGATAATAAACTCTTACTATCATTTTATTTATAATCTATCAATCTATGTCATCAATCTATGTAATTTATTTATAATCTATCAATCTATGTCTATCAATCATTTTATTTATAATCTAAATAATCAAATGTCTTAAACTCATACTTACGGTGGTTTGAGTGATTTTAAGTTTTCAGTAAATTTCAATTCATAGAAAACTTTGATAATATCGAGGACACCTTTGGAAAATGGTTAAAATTGAAATCATCGTATTTTTCGAGGGCAACATCTAGACGATTATACTCGGTAAATACGTTGTTTAAAACTAATAAGATGTTGATATTAGAGGAGGGTTTGCAGAAGTAGAGTAGTTAAATGCGTTGTGTCGTGCATTCGGCTTCGTTAAAATTAAATTATAATTAAAGTTTATATGTTGCACAAGATAAATTTTAATGACTGCTAGCATAATATTTTTTTATAAATTAACAGGGCTTGTTGATAATATCGCGGACAACTTTGTAAAATGGTTGAAATTGAAATCATAGTATTTTTCGAGGGCAACATCTAGACGATTATATTTGGTAAATATGCTGTTTAAAACTAATAAGATGTTGATATTTGAGGAGGATTTGCAGAATTATAATAGTTAAATGCAGTTGTGTTGTGCAGTCGGCTTCGTTAAAATTAAATTATAATTAAAGTTTATATGTTGTACAAGAAAAATTTTAATGACTTCTAGTATAATAATTTTTTTTATAAATTAACAGGGTTTGTTGATAACAGCAGATGAGATGAATAAGATGTAATAACACAATCTGTTTAATCAATAATGTTTTATTCTCTCCTAACAGTCCTTCCCTTATAATTAGACACCAAAGGCTCTGCCTCGTGTTTTTCTTTTTCTATTTCTGATTTTTCAGTTGAGCTCTTTTTCAACCTTATTTATTCATATCTTTATGTGTCTTTGACATTTTCGTCAATCTTAGTCATGATCATTGAAGATCTCTTTATACATCGGCTGCCATCTACTCTTTCCCTGCGTACAACCATTGATATCTTTTCGATTTGCAAAGTTTTATTTTTTTCAAATAAAATTTTTGAATTTTGTGGCTAAATTTCTTACGAGAGTTACTAACAATATTTAAATAGTCATAATCAGGAATATGAAAGATATGGATCAAGAATATCAAGAATATGGATATCAAGAATATGGATAAAAGAAAGATAGCTTAAAGTCATCACATGCAAATGGAATTTATAAACAAACTTCTGTATTAAATATGAAGGATCTTTTTAAATTAATAAGGTATTTTATTTTTTCTACTTTAACGTACAGAGATTTATGTAAAGGCAATTTATTTATTCTACTAATTAATATTTTTGATTATTTTTTACTTCTATTGAACCTAGTTACCAAATTTCTAATTTAGGTGCATGCCACTATAATAGGTAACAGTTATGATAGGTAGCAGATATTACTTAAAAAAAATTATTCTGGAAATGTAATAAAAAAATTATTCACTAAATGTGCACTGAAGAAAAAAAATATTTTAATACCTTTTTACAAGTTTAAATAAATATTTAAAAAATTTTCAACAACTAAACGTAAAACACTAGAAAAAGCTGCTTCTAACAGCTGCTTAGAGTATTTAGTACATGTACAAAATTTGATAGAGAATTTTTGATTTCTTGAAAGTAATTTTGAAAAAAAGAAAACCCTTTTTATTGTACTTTTATCTAGCGGGTTGAATTAACTAATATCATTAAAATTCCGTTGAAAATACTTTCACATTAGGAGACAGTGGATGCTCAAAATAAAAAACAAAAAAAGTATTCTCAAAAAATCCAATATTTTGTTTTCGAGGAAATAAAAAAAATCCCACGCTACAAATTATGCAATGAACCGTTTCTAAGATCCATTATTTGCTAATAATTTAGAAGAATTTGAAGTTGTAAAGATCTATATTGGTCAATTTAGTTCAGCGGTTGCAAACTTTGAGATGTAGTGTTCAGTAAAACGATTGAGAATAGTCACTCATTATCTGTTCAAGCGATTTAAATCGTTACCTTAATCCACATGAATTATTTTAATTTTATGTTAATTATATATTTTTGATAAGAGTTACTGACATTAAAATAGACTTAGATTAATCTGTTTCATCGTAGTTTATTGACTTGGCAACAAAGTAGCAATGCTCTCCAATTTAGCTATCAGATTAGCAAATTATGATAAACAATCTGTTTTTGATAAAAAAAGTGCCTTATATATCCCCCTGTTTTCTTGAAATTATCTGTTAATGCCTATCTTATAAACAAATGCATAATGATGCTATTGCATATAGAAGGAATATTTTCCAAATGGCACGAGACAATGGAAATGACCCAGTCACAAGATAAGTTGTAACTTTGACATATGTAACCCTATTCTTGTTTATGGTATTTTTGATACTAAGTATTAAGTAATTAGTTGCAATTGTTGACAACTAATTGCACGAACTTGTATAATTTTTATTTCAAAACAATTTGCTGATTCAAAGATAGTTTTGTTCTCAACTGATGGATTTAAGCTAGTTTTTAAATATTAAAAAAAAATTTTTTTTTTGAATATTAAATTAAAAATATTAAATTATACAAGGGATGATATAGAAATGCATGGGTAGTTACATTTTTCTTAGAAAATCAGAAGCATTTATTCTTTATTCAATTTGAAGAACCATTATTCTTAAAAACTCTCAAAATTAGTCACAAATTTCAACAATAAATGGAACTACAAAATGAGTTCAAAATTATGAGTATCATGTTCAAAATAACTTCCATTTAAATGATGGTCAAAGGACTTAGTACGAAGTCAATATTTAAGTTTGAATAGTGCGAATGCAGAAAAAAACTACCCAATTTTATTGTCTTCCAGACATCTGTTGACGAATTTCGTAACTAATTCTTAAAATTGGGGATAATAAAACCTAGTTTATTAGGCAGAATACATGAAGTCGTAGTTCTATCTGTTTTACTGCATTTTTGTATGAAGTTATACTTACTAGCATTGCGCATCTTCATCAGCAACGCCACATTTCGTGCCATCGGGGAAAGCAAGAAGTAAATCCCCCATTACTTTTAAATCTCGAGTTGCAGTCTTGCAAACATCATGCTTTATACAACACACCAGACATTCATCTTTTCCAGTGCATAAGCAAGGCTTTAGACTATCTGTGGCGCACGGAATGCTTCCACATTCTAATCCCTTGCAATGATGTGATTTTGACTGAGAACTATTCGCAACACAAATGCACTCTGATGAGTTACCAAGACACATTTCTTCACTGCAATGATGTGCTCTATCCACACATTTTGTCTGTAAGGTAAAAGAAGGTGGTAAGGATCTGTATTGATATACATAATAACATAATATATATATNTATATATATTTATGGATTCAATTTCCTGTAAACACTGTTGTGTTATTTCTTGAAAAACTAAAAAGTAAAAATTTTTGTTTAATTTTATTCACTGCTACATCATGCAAATGCAGTTATCATTTAAATCAAGTTATTTATCTCGACCAAAGTTGCTCTATTCGAACATTTGGAACATAATTAATAAAACTAGTAAGCAAATTGTTCTTTGTTTTCTGTTGTGTATGAGTTATTATTTTTTTAACAGATCTTAAATTCTTTCTTATCACTGATTTCAAATATGCTATCTGTTTCTCTTTCCTCTCTTTTTAAATGACATTTTTAGATTTTCTGTCGTTTTGTTATAAAGGTAATATATAACAGGGGGTCATATAAATAATGTTGCAAAACTCTAGGGGAGTTAGGGCACATCGCCAGGATAAAAATTAAATAGGAACCAATGCCCGGAAATATCATACGCCACCAGGGGTGCTTTCCTTATTTATGAGCTGTTTCTTCGTGGGCTTTTGACTGTATTTCCGGTAATGCCTTCCTATGAAATTTTAATCGTGATAGGTCCTAACTTCCCCCGAAGTTTGTCACAACAATTAAGAGATCCTTCATTATATGTAAAGTTTTTAAACTTGAGCATAACAATAGTAGACTAAAAATGCATTAAAAAAACGCAACTTTGCAAAAAACGAAAACCGATTGCAGATTTGAAATCCCCGCCCCAAAATCAGACAAGATCAAGTATTTGTTTAAACGCAACAAAAAATTTGCTCCCCAGTTTAATCTAACTTATTTATTTATTTAGATCAAATTTCCTTCACATTCACTAAGTATAAAATCTCAATAAAACATCCTAATTTTAGACTTTTTAAACTGAACTTCAAAAGAAATGAAGTTAAGCTGTAGGCTAAGCGCAAGTTGGAATAGGATTAGTAAACATTTAAAAATATGCTTACTAAAATGTTCAATTACACCGATGGATAAAATTAAGAGATGGAAGACATTTTCCCAAATATCTCAAAAAGTACTGAATATAAATTAATGAAATTTGGTATGGATATATAGTTCATTCACCAGAGTTGGCACTTGACTCCACCTCCTCGGACGCAGAGTTCACTTCAGAGCGGCAGTAAAAAGAGAAACATCTCCGCTTTTGAAATTGAGCCAACCCTTAATGCGCGCCAAACACATAAGGGAATTTTTTCCAGTTACTTACTTCGCTTTATCATCTGCTATTATACTTTTCGTTTCTCTAGATAGTTAAATATATTTTAAATTAAAAAACTATTGTTTTCCCAGCAAAATGTCTCAAAAAGGACAAACTATTCACTCAAAAGAGTAACCATAAATAGAGCGAAATATCATCAAATTTATGAAATATTTAATGTTAAAAAAATGCAGATGAAGTTTGCGAAATAAATATTTTTGCCATACAATAGTCAAATAGCAACCTTGTTCAGGCTTGCTCACAATCTTCTCCCGAAAATAACGAAATAGTATCGTCGCATACCACGTGATTAAGGTCGAGCCAAGTGCCAACTCCTGGTGAACGAGCTATAGCTTATTACATGGCAATAAAGTATGCAAAACAAAAATGAAAGCGCCATTCACTGGCAAGACCTATTGCCAATAAATCCAAAGTCTGAACTTAAGGATAAAATATGACAATAAAAGTGAGTCTTGTACAGTGTGTGTTGCCTCTAGTATGGTGCATGGTCACCCCTGACAGACAGACAGCATGCACAACGAGTATGCATGCTGTTAAGAAGGGAGTTAAGGAGGACTTGCGGAAGACCCTCCCATTCTTCCACCAGAGCAATTTTTAACTCCAGAATGGTTCTGGGGGGAGGTTGGCGCATCGCAATAGCTCTCCCAAGAGCAGCCCAAGCATGTTCAATAGGATTCAGGTCAGGGGATTTGGCTGGCTAATCCATTCGTTGAATTTCCTCACTCTCCAGATACTTATGAACCATGAGAGCCCTATGTGGTCGCTCATTGTGGTCCATAAAAATGAACTCAGGGCCAACAGCGCCCCTAAAAAGATGCACATAGGGGTCTAGTATCTCCTGCCTGTACCTCTGGGCATTCACGGAGCCATTGTCAAACACATGGAGCTCTGTGCGGGTATCTTGCATGTGAGAATGAATTTGCAAAAAAGCTTTCCATCTCTTAATTTTGTTCACCAGTGTAGTTTTTTTAAAGACTAATAAAAGGATTTTTGCCTTTTAATTGTAATATAATCTGCATTAAAGGGAATTAATAAAGATTTAAATAGGTAAAGATAAGAAATATACAGATAAGATGTAAGTTATAATAATGTATGCTATAAATAATAAATTATCCATAAATTAAAAAAAATGCTATTGCAGTTTATATAATTAAAATACAATCTTGATATAAGTAATATTAAAAGAATATATGAAGGTTTAAAACGGCAAAGATACGATTTAGATAAGTTAGAATGCTAGTTATAAATGTTACCCCATAATATGCAAATTTGCAATCATTACAACAAGCATCCTTTGTGGCGCATTCTGCTTCAGGGCGTAGCATACATTGCGTACTATTAGTATTATTAGAATGTTTTCCAATTTTGCTTTGAAATATAGGAGTGGGTGGCTCGCAGCATTTATCTATTTCTTCACAAAATCGTTTTGGTCCACAATCGCACTCTTCACCGTCTTCTCGGATTGCATTTCCACATGTAGAGTACTCAAACTTCTCGAAACATTCTAAAAATTTATGTTTAAGCTTAATTATGAAAATTATAAACATCAATAAACAAACAAAAAGTTTGGAATTTAAAGACATATAAATGCTTGATCCATTTCAAACTATTTCTTTTTGAATGATGAACTGCAAAATTTGAACGAAATGGATCGAATAGTTCTTGAAATATAATTTTAAAAATATCATTTTTTTGAATTTTATAAGTCCGAAATTATTCAATCGATATTTCTCAATTTTTGCATTTTGTCATTTAAAATTACATAGTTTAAAATGGTGTAGAAGTTTATGTATCTTGCAATTCAAAATTTTTTGACCCATGTTAAATAAAATAATAAAAAGTAAAAAAATTATTAAAATCATTTTTAACTTAGAATTATGTTTGGATAAACAAATTTTATATGTATAAAAAATGTTCTATTCGCTTTAAAACAACTCTTGTGAAAAACTATTGGAACAACTCATTTCACAGATTGCATTGCGGCTTCCCTCTCTTTTATTATGATGATCAAAAATCCAAATACGTTGAAAGACGGATTTTATTATTCAGACAAAGTATGTTTTCGTGTTTGTTTCTGTAACTTTATTAATATTTAACAATTATTAATCACGATATTTGAGATCACCCGTTTGAGCCTTTAATATTGGTAAGTAGTTTTTGTAACTTTTTGTAGTCATTTAAGGTGGTATCGTTTTGTTTTGTCCATTACACTTAATGTCATTTAGATAGTTTCGCTTTATCTCAGTAAGATAGTTTGTTTTTATTTTTATCTTTTGTAAAGGGTGATCAAATGAGCTTTTTTTTAACAACAGAACAGCTATGTTTTTTTTTGCTGATTGCGACAAAAATCGTAATTTTTGTTCTGTACTGTTTGGCAAATCATCAGGGAGAGACACGTCGTTGCAAATGGAATTAAACCCACTCTGGGAGAAGTCTCCCCTGCTCATTCATAGAACATTAGAAAAAGACCACTATGGAGTTACCAGTTAAATATTCCTAGGAAACAGCAGTCTTTTTCAACATGTCTTTTGAGTGGCCGCAACAAATCCCTTACCTTTCAACATGATAAGTGTTTCTTTTCTTTATGTTATTGATGCATAGCAGACCAGGTCTCCCCAACCACATTCCTAAATACTTAAATTTTATTGTTCTCGAGATTTTATGGGATTCTATATAATTTTTGAACTTTTTAGATATTTTGCACCGGGGCATTGCATCGAAAAGAATTCTTTCTCCCTAAGAAACTAAATAAAAATACATTACATTCATATCAAATTAATGTATCACACGTTGTAAAAAGTTTTATTTGACGAAATTTTTTTTAAAGGAAAGTAGAAATAAATGAACTCACTTTGGTCTGATAATTTCTTCTCCATTTCTCGTACATTGCAAGCTGAAAAGATGCCATATGAAAATGTAGGTTCAATACTTGAAGAGAGATAATAATTTTCGATTAACACCATTGGATTTGGAGGATAACCCGTTTGGCATATCTTATCACTATCAGTGGCTCCGAAAGCTCGAGTGATGGTTGTAACATATTGAGCTAAGTACAGTGCCATGGGCTCTGGTTTATTTAACGTTCCATGACTCACAATGATGGTATTTTTTATCTTGCTACAGGGTTCTCCATTTTCATGCGAACTTACAAAAAACTTTTTCGTATTTTCTTGTACCATATCCAAACCTACAAATACGAAACATGTTAACAACATTAATACGAAAATTTTGTTGACTCATACAATCAGTAATAATTATATGTTTCTGTTCCAAATTGAATTACTTGTTTAAAATGTTAGAAAGTATAATGTTTAAATCAACTAACACAACAAATCAACTAATTGGGATTATTTTCAATACAGATAATTAAAAAAAACATAGACTTTTGATCAACATCTGCTAATTCCATCTGTTGAACAGAAAGAGATTTAAATACCAACTGCATCCCGTTAAAATAAACATTAATTATAATTTTATTTGTTATCGTTTCTTGCAATTTTTTGAACTGCACGATTGACTGAAAATGTTTTTCTTTAATTTTGCTGGTTTTTCATTAAAAAAAATTTTGTTATCTTGTTTCAGAAGCGAATTCGGCTGCAATATGATCATTTCTCCACTCACTGATTCAAGTATTGGTAAAAACGAGTCATTCATGGAATTTCTTTCGGTTAATCGTCGACGTAATATTACGAATGATAAGGAATTGAAGTTACGAAATATATTGTGTTAAATTGCACTTGCCAATATACATTGATAGAATGACTCAACTAAGTCAAAATGGTCACAATTGAAAGAAAACATATGTAATGCTGTTACACCATTATTTGCAAAAAGAAAAAGAGCTCAAGCAAGGATAGGTTTGACGTTGAATATGCTACAGATACGAACATTAAAGACATTGCTTATACGAAAATGATTCAAAGGAACACAAGATTTAAGGCTAAGGAATGTAGGTAATGCAAAAGGGAGGAAAAGAGACTACACGAGGGCTAGAAAAAAGTTTTTTAGGAGAAAAATTATAAAGTTTGTTCTTGAGTTCTTGAATAGAATGAAAGCAGAGTACGACTATATCGCAGCTGAGCTGTTGAAATGTCATGGACCAGTACTTATAAAGTTAATCTATAATCTTATTTCTGACATCTGGAATGCTGAAATACTTCTTTCAGATTGAAACACAAGCGTTATTTGCCCAATATACATAAAAGACAATACAATGTCTTGATCTAATCATAGAGTTATCAGAGGTAACGTATACCTTTATGACTTTAATTAATTTTTTTGCAGATGGTGACCAAATAATCATGAAAATTAAAGTGGAAAAACTGAATGTTATCATGTGATTTTTCGGCAAATAATAATGTACCGACAACCATGAAAAACTGCGACTTTATATTTAGATGTTTATGCATTGTTAGATTACTGCATATATTTGAAGGAAGAAAAAGACTTATTCGTTGATACATTATATGTACCAAAAGCCATGATATATCTTCTAACCATTTAAATACATCTTTAGTAACGAAATATATATTTTATTACAGTTTATTCACAAAGGTTGAAGTGATGAAAACTCGCCCCTTGACTGTACATAAAATATCACTTCTTTTCAAGTATCGGGGGCATCAAAATCTCTGAGTAATTGTTGGGTACCTGCAACTGGGGAAGAAGTGAAACGATTGTGTCTTGCCGTGTGATTTAAATGAGATTTAATTGGATAGCTGTAATTGAGGTCACAGTTGCTTGTCGAACTTAGCTTTTGAATTGACAAATGTGGTGATTCACATACGATGACGTCACTTGCAGGTATCCAATTCTGTTTTCAGATTAGTTACGACGTGGAATAGCGGATACATTTTATAAAAGTTGCAAGATCATGTTCAGCTCAAAACTTGACAAAAAAATGAAACAATCATTGTACGGAACGAATGTGTATATGTGTGATGGAAAGATTCTAAGTATAATAAATAAATAAAAATTGTATCTAAAGTTGTCCCCTTTATCAACATTAAAAAACCCCATTTAGTTTACTTTTCGGATATGACGAGTTAACCCTCATGTCTTTGTTTACTTATGTTTATTTTTTTTTCTATCTGTATTACTGTTATTTATATAGCCAATCTATTAATATATAGCCAGCAATTTATTATAAAATGTAATATACACAATTAATCTATAATCAGTAATGTAAAATAGGACAAAAGCAATCAACGAATCATTAAGTTTAGTATCGCAGCAAAGCGCTGTATACGTTAGGCCTAAAAGTATTGCAGCTTAGCTGCGTTTTAAAAATGTGTCGTTATTTTTAATATTAATAATTTTCTTTAAATATTTCTCCTTGGTGCTATTGTTAATATACGTACCTACGATAAGACAAGCAGGTTGTAAACTTGAGTGGAAGTAGGTATACTTTTCAATGAAATCATTTAAGGACATTTCCTCAGTTTCTTCTACAAGTTCTTTACTCGGTAAAATAATGGTGTCTATGTGAAAATTCATTTTGAAAGTCTTTGTTTTATTTCTAAAAGATATCTTTCTATAGAGAATATTCAGCATTTCTGTTTGGAGAAATATATCTTTAACTACATCGGTGGTGCTTTTCTCAAAAAACTCCATCAATGTTCGACTAACTACAATTTTAAGACCACAAGAAAGGTCATTAGGCCTGAATCTAGAACTGAAAGAAGATGATTTTAATGTAACAAAAAACTAATATACTGAAAACAAAAAAAAAAACTAAACTTTTGGTACCATAGCTTCCAAATTGTAGCCAGTCCTGAAATTTAATAATCTAAATTGATAAAAAAAATTTCGATTTTTCGGCAGTAAGTTTCTAGATCTGATTTAATAATTGAAATTGTCATCTCCACTAATTAATTAAAATAAACATGCTCATTAAATTAAATAAAGTTTTACGAAAAAACGCATTCAACTAAAATATTTAACATTAAAGTATGTAACAATAGGTAATCATATGAACTTAAGACAAATATTCTCTTTTATTGTGACTATCCATTTTAATAATGTAGTGACTTTGATTCGAAGTACAGTACACAAAAATAAATAAATAAATAAATAAATAAAATAAATAAGTAAATAAATAAATAAATAAATAAATAAATAAATAAATAAATAAATAAATAAATAAATAAATAAATGAATAAATGAATAAATGAATAAATGAATAAATAAATAAATACATAAACGCTATTAATCTAATGGTCTAATGGTCTTTTGATCTAATGGTCATATTTCCACGTACTAGGACTCAATATCTATGGTTCGAGTGTCTGACCATAAATATGCAAATTATTTTGTTACGAAATCAAACACAAAAGTATTTTCTCGGAATAAGCATACCTTTTTCTTCATCTGATTTAGATTTTTTTATATCAAAATAGTGGGGATAATTACCATTTGAAAAATATGGTCCCGATAGTTTAGGAAACGATATTTTTGACTCATTATCACTTAGACGCATAATTTTTATTAAACATATTTTTGTTACTTCTTTTCACTTGATTTATTATTTTGATAAATTTTGATATATTTCCCTATTTATATTAATTTAGGTCAAAATACGTGAAAAACACCACATTTAGCGTTTTAATAATTTATGGTTATGAAATACACCATGAAACACTGGTGTCTTTTTCTGCGTTAAGGGTAAAATTTTCCAAACACGGCTCACTTTCAAACATTAAGTTTTCAAATATGCACTTATTTAGATTAGAGAGAAACAGCTATTCATAATTGAAATTTCTATAATTTAAAAAAATCAATTACTGATGAAGTTTTGAATACGAATGAGAAAAAATCACTTTATTATTTTTTTTTTGGATTTTATATTTTTCAGTACAAATTAAATTCCGATAATCTGAGAGATTTTTTCAGAAACTATTACTGTACTTTATAACTAAAATACTAAAATACTTTTTGAGTATTTGGCTACTTCTCTCGAAACTAATGAAGTGAATTGCAAACAAAATTTTCAAAGTTACAAAGCGTGTTTATCCAAAGATAATTCAAAGAAAAAATTATTTTAAGCAACAATTTTTTTTTATAATTTAATTTATTGATAGTCGAAAATTTTTGAGTTGAAAGACATACAAATTCTAGCACCATTTTAATGTATATAATCTTAAATAATAACATTTAAATTTTGAACGGGATCGGTCTAATATATTGAGAAATGTTTTTTTACAAATAGGACTACTTAGAGAAGAAGAAAGGCGTAAAGTTTGAAATTAACTTTAAGGGTTTCAAAATTTTCCTCAATCATTGGATAATATTTCCCAGATTGCGGCTACCCCCACATTTTGATTGTCAAAAATCTAAATCCGTCAAAAAAAGGTATGCTTATTTAGAAAAAATATGCTTTTGTGTTTAGTTTTGTTACTTAAGATACCTTCTGCACTAATTGCACGGGGAAATAGAATCATTTCATTAAAAGTAGTGAATAGTTTTCGTTTCTTATGAACTCTATACATAGGCGTTATAAAAATTGGATATCGAAACAAACTAATAAACAAAAATATGGAAGCATAACTCGTATTACTATTTCTGCATTATATTATCCCGTAAAAATTCATCCTTAAGGGAAAAAAGTCTGAAATATCGCCAAAAGTTTAATTCATGAATGCAAGTTTAGTTGCAAGTTAGCAGTAGAATAAAATAAAAATGCAACAATAAACTAGTAGTTAGAAATTAATGGTAGCCTAACAACAATTTACTTGAAGACAATGGTTCACAAATATAGAAAGCACTTTCAATAAGTTAGATTTTTTATTCTTCTCTTTTCTGCATTGCGCCGATTAATGTGACTATATTCCTCCCCCCCCCCCGATTCTCCGTTTCTCTTTTGCTTTGCCTTCTTCCCCTTAATAGCTAAAATAAACTCTTCCGATTTGTTTTACTCTCACTTTGTACTTTCAAACTTGTTAAGGGAAACCTATGCTTACTGCTCTATTTAGTTATATTTCATGTTTACAGATCATCAGGTACAACTTGGTGAAAGCAATCTGACTTTAAAAAAAAAAAGCTATTGAATGAAAACACAAATACATTTTTAGTGATGTGCTTATAGTGAAAAAGTATCCATTAGATTGCATAGAATCACTTACATGTGCTTTGTGCGCACTTTTTTATGCTTATTTATTTTCTTTAGAATTTTTAAAACCACTTAAACATTGCATATTTAATAAAAACGAGCATTTTTGTGTGTATTGGGTTGATAAATTTTTGATGTCCAGCTTCTCAAGTTTTATTAAACTGATTAACGCACCTAATTATAAGGAAATTCTTCTTCGCAAAGACTTTGACAAAATTATATTAGCATTCACAGAAGAATAAAGAAAAATATTTTGGAATTTCTTCAATAGTGATTTAAACATTTAAAAATTAACGCTAGATCTAAAGAGTTAGATCATAAGCACATAAAATACATTTAATAAGTCAGTCACTTCAAAATACAGTCAATTCGCTATAACTCGAAGTACGATAACTCGAATATTACTATAACTCGATTTTTTTATGAGGTCCCGACCCTTTTATCTTCAATTTCATGTTAATTATTCTCGATTACTCGAATTTTACTCCCTTTAACTCGATTTTTTTTGGATCTTTTAAAGCAAGAAAAAGACCTAGGAGTTGATATTTTGCCCCTTCCTTTGCAACACACACACAAATGTCTTTCGCACTCTTCATGGAGAAGCTAAAGCTATCCCTCTTGAAGTATATGAACAGTGGTTAAATGAAACGTTACCAAATTTACTTCAAGCATACAGTGAAAATGATGTTTTCAATATTGATGAAATGGGTTTATTTTTTAAATGTCTTCCAAATAAGGCAATGATGTTTAAGGATGAAAACTGCTCAGGGGGTAAAATGTGCAAGGAACGTTTGACTATCCTAGTTGGAGGAAATGAGTCTGGGACAGAGAAATTGCCCTTACTTGTTATCGGAAAATACCGAAATCCCCGATGTTTCAAGAATGTACAAAACGTATCCTTTGGATTACAAGTCTAACAAAAAGTTTTGGATGACATTTTATTTGAAGACTATGTAAGAAAACTGGATCGGAAATTCTTCGCTAAAAAAAGAAAAGTGATACCCTTAATGGATAAATGCACAGCGCATAGTGATCTACCTAATTTGAAAGCCGTAAACTTGCAGTTCCTCCCGCCAAACACAACAGCAAAGTTGCAGCCGATGGACCAGGGTATCTTAAAGTTCTTCAAACAGTCGTATCGTAAATGGCTTGTCAGAAAAATGATCTTAAATATTGTAAGCATTTAGAAGATTTGTAATTAATAAGCATTAATTAAATAATTCGACAATATTTTGAAAGTCCAAAACCGAAACTAACCGTAAGTCGAACTTCCGATATGTCGAAGTTTTTCGTCAGTCCTATCAGATTCGAGTTATCGCGAATTCACTGTATATGCTTATATACCGTTATCGTATCAAAACGAAAGTAATTCCAAATTTTACCTTTTAACAGAAAAATCACCAATTCCTGGTAGCACATCTGGATGATCATATCCATATTCTACGCCACCATCTGGTCTTAATATCTCTTCATGTAACAAAGCGTCTTCTTCGTGCTCTAACGTGGAAATCTTTGTTTGTGGTATTTCTCTTTTCTTAAAAAATGCCTTTCTATTGCCAAATGTAGCTTTATTTGACAGATTAGCAAGAGTAATTGCCTGCCATTTTATTTTACCGTCAATGGTTTCAGTTTCAGCTTGAGACAACATATCAGTAGCTGGAAATAAATCTCTGGTTATGTCTGAAACATTTCTTGACATATCACGTCTTTGCCAATCAATATCATATAAAATTCCTAAAAACCAAGGTTCGAATCGTTCAGATTGTAAGCAATCAATCTCCTTGCCACTACGGTCAATTCGACATCCCGGCGGTACAGCATCTTTAAACCGGTACGCAATGGTTACGCCATTTTTCTCATGCAGCGAATCGATACAGCATATGTGATCAGTCATTATATAACCTTGAAATCCTCCCGAAACTAAAAAATAACCTAATACAAATGAATTGTTAACATCTTTCACTTGACCATGGTATAAGGTATAGTCGTCAATGTCAGCTTGGTGGGAGAATTCCTTTCTACCACTAGATACAATTTTAATTCTTGTTTCATAATAAAGTGGAAAATAAACTTGTAATTGTACTGTATACCTTTTACGGCATGCCAAGAAGCTCAAAGTTGTGACATGTTTGAAAGCTTCAGATCTTGTGAAATCATCTTCTATGTGTTTAATAGTAGTGGCTTCATATGAAAGAAGATGCTGTTCAGTATCACTAAGAACACTGTTGACTAGACAAAGAGTGAAGTATATCACAAATATTATCTTGTCTAACATTTTATTTCATTTTAAACCTGTAAAGAGTTCATCACAAAGAAAGCATAAGAAAAACAACTAGTTACAAAATTGTTTTAAAAGTTTATATTTGCACTAAGAACATTCTACACTTAAACTTCGTTCAAGTAAGACATCGATGATAATAATGATTATGCTAGCCCAGGAAAATTTATATGTACCTAATGCTAACCAAACAATATTAAGGGAATTCCGTAGCAAGCAATCTAAGACATTTGACTTTGTTTATTTAGTGTTGAAAGGATATTAATCTAGATAAGCAGTTTGTATTACTGTTTGGTGACTAGAATAATGAAAATTAAAGAGCTATTTAGAGTTCAGACTATTTTCGTTGGCACAACCTTGGATGCTTCTGAGCTTGAAGCGTATTATATTCTTTCGAAACGGTAAATAACAATTGTTTTTAAGAATAGAATTATTTAGTAACCAAATTATTATGGAATCCTTAAATTTCCTGCAAGGGTTTTATGACAAAGGAGTCTATTATAGCAATTAAACTGTAATGGTAGTAGTATGTTATAATCCTTACAAATTTTCTAATCGCGAGCAAAATATTTTTGATTCGCTTAAACAGTCATCGAAATAGGCAGGATACAGGCTAAATATAAAATTGCACGGAGATAATAATTGTGGTAAATTTACCTAACTGTAAGGTAAGAACATTTCTGTTATATAAAAAAAGAAACAACTCTGTTTAATTAAAACAAAATATACAGAATTTAAACAATTCATTTGGTAATTTTTCCGCTCACATGGTAACAGTTTACAGGAAATTCTGGTTTTCAAAATTATACCTCTTATTACCCCTCACTGAAAATGAATAATAAATCTAACAGAATAAATGGCTCTTATGCTATGCTCTTAAGTATCATAATCCAAAATTTATCACATATTATCAAACTCTATTTTTTGCTTATTTTACCAAAATATTTACCGAATCACTTCGTTAAAAATTACTTAGTTTTTTGATGTTATCACAGAGGCAGAAACGCTGTAAATTTTACTATATTCTGTTAGCTTTGACCATACATTTTTTCTCAGTGTAACAGTTCTAACTTTCTCTTGACGAAGTATATATATATATATATATATATATATGGCATATTTTGATAGTATAGATATATGCCTGCATCGATATGTTTAAATAGTATACTGAGTTCAGAGGGGGGCAGAAATTTTTCCGTTTTGTCAATTCATATTTTATTTTCTAATACTTAATAATTTTTGATTTTTTATAGATTTGTGTTGACATAATTTTTAAAGGTTCTTAGAAGTTATAAATAAAATATTATAGGTACAACGTCAACCTTTCTTTCCTTTTTCTCAATTTTAAAAGAAGTTACCATTGAGAATAAATGAAATGTGTTGAATTAAATAACCACGAAAATCATTAGAGTGTAAAATTTAGCCGAAATAAATCCAATAAATTTAATGAACTAGTAAATTAAGCTTAAATACTTGTATTCTATTTAATAATACTTTATACATACTTGAGAGGATTAAGTCATCGAAAATGTCAACTTTCATCTATTAAAAGGTACCTCATGAGAGAATCAAGTTAACATGTCTTATATACTACTGAATTGGTATTTAATATTTGTAGTGGTAGTTACGCCACAGACTAATAACTTCATAAATACATCTTATTTTAGTATCGTGAGCAGTGAGAACATCTTGAACAGTAGAAGAATTCTGTTAACTTTATAAATAAAATCCATATTCAAAATAACTCTTTTGTGTAATTTTATTTTTTCTCTCGTTTATTTTCATTGATTTTCAATCACGACATTGCTCAGATAGTGTTAATAACTATCTTTGGAAGTTTTATTATTTAAATTAACTAAACTTATTAACTATAATTAAATTACTATCGTTTCTTAAGATATTTATGTTAATATTTTACGTCTGACGCCGTAGAATCGCAAAACAAATAAAATTTTAAAAAAAGTTATGCATATTACATAACATAGTACAACAAAATATATCATAATATAGAAGCATCTAACATAATGTAATAGGATATAACATAATATAACAGCATATAAAATAAAAACAATTAAACTTCAATTATATTTCTTGCTATACTTGAAATCATTTTCCTGTATGCAAAATTACTCACCAGAGATCTCGAAAATAGCTTTCATCTTACAGTACTGATTCACACCTTAAAGGTACTATAATTATGGTGAGTTCTTTTGAAGCAATAAAGGTTAATAGAATTGTTAGAAAAATTGAAAATATCGACACAAAAAATAAGGATAACCACACTTTGTTTTGCATTTTACTCTAAATGATAATGCTTTTATTTTTTTAAAAACTGTGATTATTTTCCTTTCTTTAAAGCTATTTTTTCAAGAAAACTGCCTATGTCAACCTCTCAAAAGCATTTTTTAAAATTTTTAAAAACATTAAGTTCATACGTAATCTCAAAAGAAGAGAATGGTGCTTTTTCTTCTTTTGAGATTACGTATGCCTATGTCAACCTCAAGAGCACTGCCTATGTCAACCTCTCAAAAAAAATTTTTAAAAATTTTAAAAACATTAAGTTCATACGTATTCTTAAAAGAAGAGAATGGTGCTTTTTTTTAAACTACAGAAATTTTTTAATTTTTTATAATACTGTATTATTTTAAAAGCTTAACTTTTTTTCCGCTTATATTTGGAATCACACTTAGATGGAACATTTTTGAAAATACTGCGTCATTTGTTTTGCAAATTCTACTTCATACCAGCTTCAGCTCTGTGCTTCAGTGAGCATTTAATTTTATCTTCCACTCCGTCATAGTTAAAACGTCTTTGCTTCTCTAAATAGACAGCACTGATGACAATGTTAAACATGATATACAATGGAAGAACATAGCTGGGGGTTGATAAGACATGGATGTATAAAAAGATATGAAACTTTAGTTTTGGATTTCCTTTATACATTATTGAATTTTGAAAATGATAGTGGATTTATTAAAATCTATCATGCACGCGTATGCCCCTTACTTTTAAATTCACAGTTGCTTGTTTTTGTTACATTATAATATTACTGTGTTGTTAGTATATTTGTTATTATATCACGCTCACAATTTATGAGTACATTGATTAAGCCAAATTTTTTTTTTTTAGCGAGAATGGAATTTTCTTAAAAATAAATTATAGATACTATCTATATTTATGCACATCACATCATGCTTATCCACTTTATGCATGAGAGATAGGAGAATTGGTTAAGTTTAATACTTACTTCTGCATTTAGGAATATAGAAATTAAATTGTTTTTAGTCACAATACTCGGTTTTTTCATGGCAAAAAGACGCATTTCCACGACGCACGATACGAGGCACCCAATTTTTAATTTTTGTTAACTGCTTTGTGATAGTTAGTAAAATAATATTTGGCACAAAAGCATACTTCTTCCTAAATAGCATGTAATTTCTTTGGTAAATTCAGCGTTTTTATTTTCTTGAGTAAATGAAATGTTATTTTAAAAAAAAGAAACAGAATGTAATTAGAAATAAAGTTCACTTCATTTCCTGTCCTACAATGTAAAAATTCCGGATCAAATTATGGAAAAAAAGTACCAGCACTTAAGGCACTGACACTTTTTACCATAAAATCTACTTTTACTGGAACAAAAAATCTGAAACGGACCACGTTACGGAAAAAATAATAATAAGTGCCGTAATAATTACTGAATCACTCTAATTAAATAAATATTACCGTGAAAACTACGGTATAACATTTTACGGTGAAATGGATTTTATAGTAAATGCATCTAGAGTGCTGGTTCTTTATACCATAATCTGATTTGGAATTTTTTACAGTGAATAACTTAAATCAATGAATTCCTAACACGCATTTAAATTACTCACTCTTTTCTCATTAGGCATATTGGCGAGCTTTTGGCGAGTTGCTAAGAGAGAGAGATACTTTATTTAGTCCTCAAGGACCATTTCTTGGTAAGCTCCTGGAACCTTCTTCCACTTCAAAAACACTCAAAGAATGCCAATGAGATTTCCGAAATTCACAAACTTACCTTCTTCCACTAAGTTCTTCAAATGCTGTTCTATCTGCGAGATAAAGTGTAAATACTCTTTTTAAGGGTGTGGGAGATCAATAGTTTGTTGACATAAATTTTTTACTAAAAAAAAACTGCAATATTTAGTTGTTGATCCTTGTCGAAAGGAAAATATAGTTCAATGAAACCACCAGCCAGAAATCCCCATGAATAAGTAAGGTAATTTTTATTTAAGGTAATTGTCTTATTGAGGTTTGATGGTCTCATTGATAGTTTATCACTTGCTTTTTATGCTGTTCCTTACTGTTAATTGTCTAAAAATAAATATAGATAATCATGTTTCTTTAATTAATTTTATTTTTAGGTCTCTGTTGTAATATCCTTCATATTATAGGGTTTTTACAAAACACTCACCCTTTCATGTTTAGTTTCATTGAATAATAATTTTCATTGTGCCACTTATTTTCATCTAATATTTTATTTAATAATTTTAATTATTTTTATATACAGAGTATTTCTTTTACAAAATAACTGGTTATAAGAATTTAATCTATACATAATAATAAACGCGGCTGTGTGTGTGTGTGTGTGTCTGTAATCACAATATATCTCCCCAGAAGCCTCGCCCAGGCACAAAACTCGGCACATAATTGTGTTTTGACATAATGAAGAAGTATTTTTTTTCTTTTTCAAAAATTTGGATTAGTTTTTTAGTTATCAGTAATTTTGCAAGAAAATCTATGCTTTTTCGTCTTTAAAGAGCCATATTCAAAAAACTATTCGCGATCGCAACGCTCGAGTACGCCGTCTAGCGGGAGCCTGTAAATATCGGACATTAATTTATCACGTTTTCATTTAGTTCCATCAAAGTCATTGACTGAATCAGACGCCATTTTTTAGCAGCAAATAGGAAACAAAATTTCCCTAAGGAAAAGGCCGAAGAACTTGAAAAAAATCTCCAGAATATTAGTAAATCTTTCAGGAACAGAACACGCCAAACATTTGAAGAAAAATTCCTCAATAATTTTT